TAGAGTAGCTTTAACAGCTAATGTCTCCGAGCATTTCAACAGCACAATGGGCAAAGACCAGACCACAACACCGGGAACTTCGTGCCCTGCTCTTTACGACGAGTGTGTAGGTTCTTTAACGTCCCCTACTGACCATAACACTGAAGATGCAGGAGATGGGGCGTATGGTGTATCGTCCTTATCCGAGAAGACTAGAATATCTAACCATTTGCAGATGTCATTGCAAAGGCATCATGTTCTCCTCAGTTATTTTAAGACCCTGAGTGTTGGTCCGGTCTGGGGCTCGAACCCAAGACCTCCCGCACGGTAGTCCGACGCTCTACCAACTGAGCTAACCGGTCGGCGAAATATTCATATATTTGAGCTGCAGAGAATGATATGAAGATATGACTGATCATCGCAGTTATGCACACAACTTAAGCAGTTGTGAAATTAAAGCCTGGAAAAAATTCAGGCCTGAACGGGAATTGAACCCATGACCTCTGCGATACCGGTGCAGTGCTCTACCAACTGAGCTATCTAGTCAAATGGGGGTTGGTCACTTTGCAAGTTCGTAATGTACCTGTAATTTCACAACTGCTTAAGTTGTGTGCATAACTGTGATGACCAATCTTAATAAATGTTAGTATTGAAAGTGACGCTAATATTGTAAGTAGAGTCAGTATTGTAAGTAGTGCTAGTGATATAAGCAATTTTAGTATTGTATGTTAAGTTAGTAATTTAAATTGTCTTCCAATTAAAAAAGAAAAAAATTCTCAAGGCTGACTTGCTGAGTATGATTTCTAAGACAGCTCCGTTCCAGAAATTCCAATTGCTTCAAGCCTTGAGACGATTATCTTGTGATCCGCGGTGTCAAAAATGTTCCATAGCTTAGTAAAAGCCATGCCAGTCCTTGGTCCATTCCATGTATTGTACAGTGTGTAAAGGATATTGATGCTGACTCGGTGGAGTGATTTTTCCAAAAGCTGCACTCATAAGGGCTTAATATTTGATATCTACTGAGAAACTGATACAGTTGGCAATGCACAGCTCTTTCAAATATCTTTAAAGCAACCCACAGAACAGAGATTGGATGATAGCTATCCATTTCACTGCTTTTACCTTTTTTAAACACTGGCGTTACCTTGGTGCACTTCTATTCATCAGGAACAACTCCAATCGCGAGGGAGGTGTTGATGATTTTAGTCAGCGGCTTAGGTATAAAAGCAGCAGAATTCATTTATTTATCCTTGAGTAGCCACTGAGGGATATTGTTCAGGCCACTAGAATTGTTGTACTTTAAATTATTTAGTTCTGATCGTGAGAAATTTTAATGCCCCTTAGAAATGGCTCTGATTGGTTGACAAATCGTTTCCCTTAATATTTGGGGTCTTCACTCTCCATCCTTAAGCAAAGCAATCTTCGTGTGGTTAAGAACCAGGAAGTCGATATTGCTTATAATTATGGGATACTGCTTCATTTAAGTTCTTACCAGGTAAACTAGGATCATGAAGGGGGGCTCCAGGGTCGTACAGATTAGGGTAAATATGAGGCAGTGGTCCATTATATGGTCCCTGTCTAGGGTCAAATACAGTTTGGGGAGGTGCTGTGGGTTCCACTGCCTGAGCAACCTGAAATTTTCAAAACGTAAAACAGTTATTTCCTATGATTAAATATACGTGCTGTGGCTGGATAGTTTCCAGCTCTTTCCATCACTTATGCTTTGATGGATTAATACTCTTAATACTCTAATCACTCTTTGTCATATCATCATACAATAAGGGTATCACACAAATGCTCAATCATTGGCTAACAAGTTGTGGTCATCCTGTTTATATAACAGGTAACCATGACAACAATACAACCTGTTAGAGCAACCCTTGACTTTAGCTTTCAAGGTGTCCCCTTTTATTATCAAATTTCTACCTTATTGCCGGTGGCCTGTATCAAATCAATTATTTCACTTTCTTCCAAGTATTATGTATTATGGCCTTGCATATTATGTTGATAAACTATGATGGTTATCAACAAAATCATTTCCCCTAATACCCTAAATAAAAGTAGTCTTCCCATGGTTAAAAACCAGAAAGTCGATATTGCTTATGAGAGTGACGTATAGCACCAGAGAAGTTGATCTCAATGGGATTACACTCGCAGATCTGGAATTTGAGCTGAAACAGTCATGCTCTGATTTCAATGGCTTTTTCATTTTTAAGCGATGACATATTGTGTGACGTCATCGCTTTATGCTGGCGTGCGTGCATTCCTTTGGATAGTGATTTTGCATAGTTTCGTTGCGCTTATGTCCGTGCGCTTATGTCGCGCACGTTTTATCCCCCTGTAGAAGCGAAATGCACTCTAAGAGTTCCTTTACTGCTTTCCTTTGCTGTTTGTAGGTTCAGCAGAGTGCTTTTAATTGTAGCTTTTACAAGATTGAGGGGTGGATTTTTGTTTATACAGTATCAGATAAATTGGCATTCACGAGCAAACTCAAAATAAGAACATATCCTCCATACATACAAGTTATTATCTTTAAAGATAATAAGGTGTTGATTTCAGAGAGGGGAACTTTTCAGCAGAGTGCTTTTTATTTTAGTTTTTAATCTTTCTTTTGCGTTGGTACATTTCACTGACCCCCTAGCACATGGACTAACAAGATGGACCAGGTACATGAACTACTTGAATGTAAACTCCTAAAATTTCTAACTCAAAAGTTTAAGAATCAGTTTGTCTGCTTATGTTCCAATCTTCTAGGAACAATTTTTAAACATCATCGCTTCTGCATGCATTGCGTGCCGTTTATTCTAGAGGTAATTATTCAGGATCCACATTTAATTTCGCCTCTCTCACCCAACAATCAAAAGGAACAGGTTGATTTCTTGATGGATGTTAAAAATCTTTTACAGGTGCATTTTTCATTACAGCAAGCAATGCTTCACATGGTAAAATGGCTCTTCAGAATTTCAAAGATGACTGGAGTTTTGGCTTGTTAGCAATAATTTGCCGCACTCTGTCAAGAAAATTGAGATAGGTCGTTCCCTCAGAAGTGATCATTCATCAGTTTCACTTTCACAGAGGAACAAAGACATGGTCCCTCTGTTTGGAAACTTAAAGCTAGCCTTTTAGACAATCCCAAATATGTGCAGATTATCAACAATGAGAATACTATAAATTGGCTTGATGAGTTTCAAGTATTTTCAGACTAAAGGGTAGTATAATGGGACTAAATCCAAATCTAGAATATGCCAAGTCCTAATCACAACTAGCTAAAGAAAGGGACATTTACTTTCAGGAAAATGAGAAGAGGATCTTAAAAAACCTGAAGAACTGTGATCAGGATTCAACAAATGGAAATATCAAGGACAGAGAAGAGTTAAAACAAGAGGATGAGGCAATGTATGATTACACATCACACAAGGGTCAATGATAAGATATCGTGCTCACTGCTATGAGCAGGGCGAGAAGATAACAAATACTTCATAAACTTGGAAAAGGAGAAAAGTGTCATAAGAAACCTGAATATAAATACAACTCTCAGATCATTAATTTTTACCTCAGACCCTAAATGGATGATGAAGGAAATTAGAATTTGATCTAGACTTTTATTCAGAGAGTTAGATGCTGAGATAGCTGGAGCATTTTTAAATAGTGTGGATATCCTAAAATTAAACCAGGGTCTTAAAACATCCTTCCTGGAAAGGTCTTTTAAACTGTGGACAAGACCTACAATGCTTTCATGAATTTGCAAGACACTGTCCACTATCATTCACCCAGATAAACATGCCTACATTAAGAATAGATTGATTTTAGACGCTCTATGAATCATTGATGAAGTTATGCAGTACACTGATTTGAATAAGATTTCTAGCTTTTAGTTGCCATTGATTTTGAAAGGTTTCTGACTCTGTGAATCTTGAATTTTTAATGAAAGCACTAGAAGCTTTCAACTTCAGCCTAACCTTATTCAAATTGATCAAGACCTACTACCAGTATTTTATAAAAAATGTATTCATTTTGCATTATTTTATTGTACAGAGAGGCAATGTCGGAGACCTGCTCTCTCCTTACCTGTTTATTCTCTTTCTAGAGGTCCTGCCAACATCTGTGCGTAATAATACAGAAATAAAAGGAATAGAGGTCGATGACAAAGAAATTAAACTTACTTAAGTTTTGCAGATGATTTAACTATGTTTTTGAGGGACATAAATTAATGCTGGAATTAACTTAATCTTTTTGGCAGTTGCTCTGACCTCAAACCTATGTTGCAAAAAGTGACATCTTACAACTGGGTCCATCACAGGGTGATGCCAACATACACAGCATTCTTAAGATTCCTTAAGGCCTGGTTCAAACGTCAAACTTTTCATGAGCCGAACCTAATAGCCCCAATTAAGTACATGACGAGATCGACGTTTGAATCAATTAAGTTCGACTCATGTTATTTGGGTCGACCCGAGAATAAAATTCAACATGGACAGTAGGTCAGTTCGACTACGGAGCAACTCCGATTCAAGCATCGAACTTTTCATGTACCGAACCTGATGCATACATTACAAATATATTAAATAAATTAATTTTTACCCAGTGTTCTGCATGTTTCCCATTTGTCATGCGTACACAGCTTGTTTTGATCTTTTGGAACAAAATGGCAGGAAGAGCGGGAAGATATGTGTTCCTCGTGCTTCGAGAGCACAAAATATACTCACTTGATGTGCATAAACCACTTCTGCTTGCCCTGTTCTGTATTTGAAAGCGACAAGAGTGTAGCGGGTTGGAGAGCAGGCAGTCTGGTGGCATACTGCGAGTCATGTTTTTGAGAGAAAATGACAACATAAATGAATCTTGAAGAAACCAACGACAGGAACGAATCGAACTGGACGAGACTCGTCACAGTTGAACTGTGATGTTCCTTTGGGAATAAGCAATAATAGAAGGCAAACCAAATTTAAAAATCGTCTTTGGTTGTCAAAGGCTAACTGCATCTGGAGTCGCTTTCTTTGACTTGTGCTACCCTCCTTGATCGCACTTACAAGAAAAGCAAGCTCTTCATTTCCACAATTCGTCTTTCCCACACTGTTTCTGCCACTTTGGTCAGCAATAACCGCCATTTGCATTAGTGTCTCTTTTATCTTTGCAATTAAGTTTGACTAAATAAGGTTCGACGTTTGAATCAACTGCCGAACTTAATTATTTGGGTCGACCCAAATTGGTATTAGGTTGGGCACATGTAAAGTTCGACGTTTGAACCAGGCCTAACTGTCAGAATAGCCAAAAATATTAGGGATCTACAAATGGCTTTAAGAAACTTAAAATCAAATCTGTGAAGATAATTATTGTTGGCTCAATGGAAAAGGCAAACCTCACCACCCTGGGGAATCTTTTGGTCTCTCATCATCTTAAAATTCATATATAACTTAACCAAAACCACTTATTCGAAAAAGTTGTAAATGAAATGTAACCAAAAAAATGTTAAATGTTGGTAATAATTATTAACAAAATTTGGAAGGGAGGGGAAGGGAGAGGTTAAAAATGACTCACTTGTAAGCTGTCATTGAAGCTTAAAGAATTGAATTTTTTCTTTTAAAAGATATGCTGCTGATGAAGGCCATTCTTGAAAGCATATACTAGATTCCTGTTTGTAAGCTTTCAATATCATTCCCTGTTTCTATAAGAAATGCCTTAAGTCTTGGGCTTCCTTGTTGCAGTAGGAGAACAAAACCCTAGATGGGGAGTTAAGATAGCTAATAAATTTGAAAAAAATAAATTCATCTGCATTCAGAACAAATCATTTTTATCACCCAAATTTGATAAAGATGAGAATTTCAATAATTAACGATATGTTAGCAGAGTCAAGGAACTTTGTGGGATTTAATGGGTTGAAGTAGAGAGAGCTAACAACTGCTAATTACCTTTTGGAATTATTGACTCCCTCCCTGGTGAGTAGCACATGTTAGTTAAGGTACCTCATTAGTGGGTGTACATGAGCATGTGCGCATACACAACATTGAGACATTTCCTTCAACCTTAAAGCCCAACAGCAAAATAAATGCTCGTTTTCTCTTTAACAAGCATGATGACCTATCAATTATTTGTTATTACATAATTTTGGTTTACAATTTATCACCTTTGAGTTAAAAATTCTTAAAAAAAAATTGCTCCATATGCTCCAGACCTTCTACTTGGCAAGTTTTTTTTAATAAGAGTTTTTTTTAATTAAAAATTTCACTTCCAGCTAGCGCAAAATGTAATGTAAACTGAGAAAATAATGCGTGTGATTAGGTACAAATGGGGTAAAATTGGCCCTTCGTATCTGTATCTGAATATCTCTTTTGCAAGTATATATGGTGACCTATCTTTTTAATTGTTATTTTTGCAACAGTGCTTGGTAGGGAATATTCAGAGAAAGTTTCAAAAAATCATTTAGCAATCTTTATTTCTGAGGAATCACATTTTGTCAGTGAAACCAGTAAGAAACTTGCACTCGGATCCAATTTTTGTCAAACTGAATGATAATACTGCTGTAGGAATTAAAGCTTTAACTACACTGTAGTAAAAAATTTACAAACATCTTCTGACTATGAGAACAATAGAACCAACAAGCAATGTCAAATTTGTAGGTCTTATTCCTGACAAAACCTTAGACTGGGTAGCTATTTATCAAATTCCATTTGACTCAACCATCAATACTGCGATCAGAGTGTTTCAATTCAAGATACTGCAAAGAGTTTTATTTTGCTAATTCAGCACTTTTCAGGGTGTTATGAACTGTGCTACTTTTGCTGCGTGATTTATGAACATGAACACGAACAGTCTGTGATTTACGAAGAATGCGTGACTTTGAATAATGCGTGATTATTTTTCTATGTTTCTCTGTGGTCTTAAATAGTTTAGTGATTGTGGTTTCCTGTATATGACAGCTCATGAATAGTTCGTTTTCCTTTATTTGACAGCTCATGAATAGTTCGTTTCAGGACTAGAATTTAAGGTTTCAATTTCAGTTGTGATCAGCATCGGTATTGCGCACATTCAATTGCATTCAAGCTTCGTCGTATTAGTTCTCCCAAGCCACAGAGATCCACTCTTCAGAATCTAGTAATCAATAAAGATTAAAGAAATCTCTGGTGGCTTGATACATTTGTCACCTTCTGCACCAAAATTTCTGAAGAACAACAAGCCTTGTCCAAGTAGAAGAGCTGACCTATAGGCAACAAGGAGGTATCCGTCTTTGGTAATTAGGAACAAACAAGTCAAGGAACTATGTCCGATGGTAAAGATGTTATTACATCCTGTCATGCCACTGGAACCTCGGAAGGCACTAAGTCAAGTTCAGTGGGAACAGAGGACCCTTCCTTAATGCTGAAAAATAAGAGAAAGCAACTCAGAGGTAAAGTCATGTGTACAATAAATAGGGTCTGAAAATTTATTACAGATTAGGACCAAACCAAACAACGTATAGAAAAGGAACTCAAGGAGTTGCGAAAGGACTTTCAATTGGTCCATGATGTACACGCCAAACTTTACGGCAATGTAGACCTCAGCTAAGTCCCAAAGTTAGACAAGTGGGAAAATTTGCTCACTGACAATGTCTTTGGTATTGAAGTTGAGACATACTTCAAAACACTGGGAGGCCCAAGTGCTAGTGGTCAACAGCAAGTCAGTGTTCCCACCCCCAGCTTTGTTCAGCAACAAACACCTGGTTTAATCGCACAAGGGAGCGAAAGTTCGGAGCCAAGCACATCTCACGGAGCTGGCGAGAATTTCCAGGATAGCGTGAGCGGTCAACAACAAGTCATTGTTCCCTGCATTGTTCAACAACAAGCGCCTTCCACCGCACAAGGGAGCAGCAATTTGGAGGAACATGATCCACCACCACCTGTAGATGGCCACATAGATTTGGAAGCAAGTTCCTCTCCCAAAGTTGATAACAATTCGCAGCAAAATGAATCGTCTGCTAATAATGCGTTTTCAGAACAAAGCTCGTTGGGACAACCCAAAACAGAAAGCGGCTCAGAAAGTATCAGTTCCTCCTGCCAACCTAACGTCATGCGATCTGGAGTTATTCAATCTCCTAAAATAGCATGCCCCGTCGATGCATGGATAAGTGATCTGGTGGAATTTGAAGAAACACGTCTTTCATTTGCTGTCTGCGAAATGTCTATCGTAGATGTG